CTTCGTTTTCATTTTTACTTTTTATCACTTATTTTGTTGTCTATTTTCGCTGCTGGGGCTGTGGCTGTGGGCAAGAGGCAGTTGTCCACTAAAACCGGGCTGCCACGCAATCGCAGTCTGCTGAGAGCTTTTCATAGCAGAAGCACACGGGCTAGGCAAATGTGTTTGTTATTGTATATTTTGTATTTGAATTGTTTTTAGCAGGCAGGCATCTCAGTTGGGTCTTGCAGTCTTTCAGTCTTCTTCGATTGGCTTTCTTCTAGTTACTATTGTTAATTTCATATGTGGCATGTGCTTGTGCTTGGGCTCCGCTCTACGATTGCTGTGTGTGGCATGCAACATGTTTTACTGATTGCGCCCCTCGCTGAACCAGCCGGCCAGTCAGCACGTCTTCTTCTTCATCATCTTCAACTAAAAACATAAATGTTGCTGTTGTAAAATTGTGAACGAAAAATAGTTGCTGTCAATTGTGAACTAAAAGTTTTGGCTTATTATGCTAATTGGCTATGGTTGTTGTTGTTGTTGTTGTTGCTATGTTTAATTCGATATTCGATTTCTTATTTTGGTTTCATTTTTCAGTTTTGTTTTGTTTTTAGTATAAAAATATAAATAGTTTTATAAAAATTTATTGGTATGTATTTGTTTGTTTGTTTGTTGGTTTGTTGCATTGTACTATAAATTATCCCGGCACGCGCGCTTGGCGCGTTTTGACTATTGCAAATGAAACTGTGGCATAAAATTCCTCTCTGAAAATTCAACTATATAAACACTTAATATTTATATATTTTATATTTTATATATATTATATATATGTGTATATGTTATATTGGGTAAATATCATTTGATTCACGTTTGAAAATTTGAACTTAGGATGGCTTAAAAGATATTATAAGAAACTAAAAAACAACACAATTTCTTATTGGGTTTGTTTAGTTATTCAGTTTTTTGTAGGTTTTTTGATATGTGTAGACAACCCAAAAGAAGTTGCTGCTGGAAGTGCTGTGTGTGTTTGTTGTTGTTGTTGGTGTTTTTATTGTTATTAATATTATTATTTGGTTGTTCGTTTATATTGTCACAATTGAATTGGGCTTGTTACATTGTTGTTGTATATGCGTTTCAGTAAAAATAAATGAGAGATTAACTCAAAAATATCACATACGAGTTGTGTATGTTTCCCTGGCTATTGTTGGCTGTTAAAACTAAATTTTTGTATTTCTTTTGTTGTTGTCAAATTCTTAGTTGTCAAATTGTTTCAGTTGATTTACGGTTGTTTATTATTAAGGTTATTGTGTTATTGAATGTTATGCAACTTTTATATATTTTTATACTATCTTTTGTTTGTCGTTTGCTTTACATGTGCTGTGTGTGTGTGTGAATGTGTCAATGTGTCAGTGTGCATGTGTGTCAGTGTGTGTGTAATATATATATCAATCGAATTTTGAATTTTTTCTTTGTTTTTGTTTTCGTTTTCATTTTTTATGATAAGCCAAAAGTTTTAATATCATTTTCATCATAAACTTCATAAACTTAGGATGCTTAAAACTGTTTCAGATTTATATGTTTATTTTTTCTTAGTAATTGCAAAAATTTTGTTTTATAACTTAATCCGTTTGGTTGCAGCACAGTGTGCGCCAAAAGTATGCACCAGCTGTGCTGCTCTATTGCAGTTGAGAAACTAAAGATCGGCGCGTTGCGCCTAAAACTTGGTATTCTCTGATACTCTACGCCAAATAAGTGATAAAACCTTTTTTTCTCAAAACTTTTTGTTTTCTTTTTAGTTTTTGTTTTCGGTCAAAAGTGCTTAGAATTTTGTGAATCGCGTTTGCTACTAAAAAAACGCAATCATTTTAAGTATTTCGTTTTCGTTTTGGTTTTCGTTCTTGATTTTTATTTTGTTTTTAGCTTGATTTTATCTAAACTGCAAATTTGTATAATTTTTCATTTTCTGTGTTCATTATATTTTGTGATCAGATGTTTTCCAAAACAAGGATGTTTAATTAACTTACCTAAATAGAATGCAATTACAGATCATTTTTATGATTTGGAATTTCATTCTGTTGTCTTGTTAGCCAAAGTGATATTTGATATACATATAAGTCTGTATAAGGAGATACCTTTGTATCTGTTACTCGATGTATCTGTATCTGTTATCTGTATCTTCTGCTTGTTAGTTTGGCACATGTTCTCCAGAAACTCGAAACAAAACAAAAACCCATTTGCGCGCATTTTCAATGCATTAAAGCTCTGTGTCTAAGGATTGCCTTTTGCCCGTGGCCGAGTTTGCTTTTGGTATGTGTGTGTGTGTGGGGACTTTGGGGTCGGGTAGGTATTACTATGCTGTTAAGGTTTAGCTTTAGGTTTGCTTATGCTTAAACTGTAGTAATATTTAATTACGTGTATGTAGTTGTATTTTTAAATGTGATTTTCTTTTGTTTTTGTTTTCTTTGTTTTTATATACAAATTTGACCAATTGTTCTCACTAAATCTTTTTCGTTCATTTCAGTATATGCGGTATTTTTTTTTTTTTTTTTGGTATTTTGCGGTAATAATGCTTTAAAATCTAGTTAAAATTGCATATGGCTGCATTCTGCATTTATATTTTGTTATTTGGTTTACGTGTAGTAAGTATATTTTTGTTTTTGTTTTTTTGTTTTTATATATTTGTTTTGTTTTTGTATTTAGATTACGTGTAGTTGTTGGTTTTCTTTTTAATTTGCTGTGCTTTATGCTCACAATCAGTTAATCAGTAAATAAAATTATTTCGCTTGTTCGTTTTCGGTCTGTGAGTGCGCTGCTTTGCAGCACTGTCGCACCTGACGCACAGTGCGTTTATCAACACTGTGCGCCTAGTGCTGATCGCTGTTTGATTGGTTATTGGTTATTGTTTACCTGTTACCTGTTACCTGTCTGGTTGGCTGAGTTTTCTTTTCTGATTTTTATTATAGTTTTCGTTTGTTCTGATGCCGCCGCTTGGCTGCTATCAGTGCGTTTTCTGTAGTTTGTTATCGTTGGTTTGCTGGTTTTGGCTGGTTGGTTTGTTATTTGTTGTCGATGGTTATTTATGCTAATATCCTGGCCTCTCTCTTTACCCAGGCTGTAAACTGTACTTGATATGTTTGCTGTCTCCTATCTTGCGGGCTCAAAAAAGCACTTACAATCGCTATTACTCATAAATGATTTAAAACTTTTCTCTAGGCTATTGCTTTCGATTTATATACGCATATATATATCTCTCTTATTTTTTTTTTTTTTTTTTTTGAATTTTCAGCACCAAAAGCTACTGCATATAGACATATTTATATCCATATGTGTTTGTGTGTGTAAAAAAACGCAATTTGAGCGCCTCGAAAGTTTCGTGCCAAAGAGTTGTGAAGTTGGTTAAGAAGGACTCTCGGTGCTTTTCTGAAAACCCGCTTGAGCTTCGATAATAATTTGGAATGATAAAGATTCGCTTACCGTTTAGTTGTTGTTTGTGAGTTGGTTTTTGGATTTGTAGTGTTGTAGTAGTGTTGGTAAAGGCCAATCAATTCCGTTGACGCGGTAATTTTGCTTTCGTAAATGCCGAAAATTGGAAATGTAACCAAAAATGTTAAATATCAGAAATGAAAATAAATGCCAAAATTTGAAGCAATTTAGTAAAGAAAAAGCAAGCAATATATTTTTTTTTTTTTTGTGTTTTTTTTTTTTTTTTCAATTTTGTTTATTAACCAATTATTAATATGCCTTTTTTTTTTTTTTTTTTTTTTGTTCACTTATAGTATAATTATGTATGTAAGTATAAATGTATGAAATATGTATGTATGTATGTCAATTTATATATAGTATATGTATAGTTGTGGCTGTATGCTTGTATTTGTGTCTGTGTGTTGAATTTGTTGTTGTTCTTATTGGTACGCAAGCAAATGGGCTGGCAAAATGTGTTCAAACTGCTCTAAAACATCATTTATGCCATTAGAAATATTGTCACAAAATGATCTATTTTTGGAGAAATTGACAAACTGAAATCAAAACAGAATTTTAAGTTTGTAAATTTATAATTTTTTCTTATTTTCAAATTGAACTTTTTTTGTTGGTTTTTTCAATTTGTTTTTGGTTTTCATCTCCATGTTAAAAACGTGTTGAATTTCGACTTGCTTAATTTATAAAAATTTTGCCTAAAGTTTTTGGTTTTTTTTTTTTTTTTTTTTTTTTGTTAGCCGAAAGTTTTTTGTTTTTGTAGCATTTGTTTATTGTTAATACGCCTTAAATTGCCTAAAGGGATTGTTAAAAATTTTCAATTTCGTTTAGATTATCTATTTTTACAATCAATAATTTCGTATGGCGGCATGTTTGGCCAGTGGGCGTGGCCACTGCCCAACCATTGCCACCATATTAGTATTTACCGAAACAATAATGTAGTTCAAAGTTTCTTCTTCTTCAACCTCTTTTTTAGTTTTTTTGTTTGTCTTATCACAAAATCAGTTACAATTGTGTTTAAATAAATTTTTTAAGTCAACTTTAGTGCCAAAAGTTTTTTCGTTTTCGTTTAATAAATTTTGTAAAGGCATTAACAATCAACGAGCTTTTTTCAATTTTCAATTTTCAATTTTGAGTTTTCAATTTCGATTTTTGTGTTTGCAGCAAGTGTGAAATGAAAACCTTAAAAAAAGAAACACTAAAACAAAACTTTTGAAATGAGAATAAATTTCTTCTTTCATCATGTAGTTAGCCAATGTAATCAATGTTATGTTTGTACGCTTTGTTAATCTAAATATGAATTTTGTTTTTCTTTTTATGAAATTTTCAATTTGAATTTCGATATCAATAAAGAATTTAGTTTTAAATTTTGTTTTGTTCTTTTTTTTTTTTTTGCATTAGATTAGGAAACTCACCGTTTATACTTGTTTAATTTTGTGATAATTTCGCCGAATTGCATACGATTCTGTAAGGCAATAGCCATACATATATTTTTATATGATATGGCCATATGTCCGCAGAATAGTTAGTTCGATTTAATTTTGCATTAGCTAAAATTCGACTATTGTTAAAATTTTGCTTAATCATTGGGTTTGCCAAAAGTTTTGCATTATGTAGTACTTCTATATAAAGCGGTGTTCTTCCGGCTCTAATCTCTAAATTCCAGCCAAAATCTAAGCGAGTGGGCGCTAGGGGTGTGGCAAGGGGGGCTCTAATGCCGGCTGATGGGCTCCTCAAAGCACATGATGGGCCGAAATTTGTTGGTTTTTCGAAAAGTTGTTTTTGAGGAATATTTCGTGCATATATATATTTTGTATTTTGTTTTTGTTTAATTCGATATTTTTAGCGATGTATTTATGTGTGTTGCATGCTCAGATGATAGTTGTTGATGTTGATGTTGTTGTTGTTGCTGTGTTGCATTTGATGTTGCGCAACACTGGTTTGACCAACACTGACTGACGTGCAGAGCTGGCCAACATATCCCTCTTAACCCGCCCACTTTCCATGCTTTGTATGAAATGAAAGTGCGTATTAAAGGCACTCAGCCGACATTGGAAATGATAAAACAATAAACGATAAGTCAAAGAAAACAAACTCAAAATTTTGATTTGTGTATTTATATATTTTTTATATATTTTGTATTTGGTTTTTGTATATTTGTTGCAACTTAAGGCCAAGTAAATTAAACTAAACGTTAACTTAAATCGAATTTCTATTCAACTAAACATATAAGTATGTACATAAATAACAGACTAGTGTATGTGTGTGTGTGTGGTGTTTGTGTTTAAAAGTTTAAAAAGTAATATGCGTGCACAATTTGGTGCATTTAAAAATGATTCGTAATATATATGTATATAATGGGTTTCAAAAAAGGAAATCGCATTCAAATTCAGTGGATTAACAATAAACTTTGGTCGTATGTTTTGCATAATAACATTAAATAAATTGTCGCTACCCTAACGCCCGCTGCTAATTCAATTAATTATTAAATTTCTTCTTTTTGTTTTTAATAATTTTTTTTAAGACTACGTTTTTCTTGATAATAATTTTTTTGTTTTTTTTTTTCAAAGATTTTTTTTTTTTACGTTTTTAATAGACATCGAATTATGCTTAAGTTTTAAAGGAAAAAGCAACCTGAACTTGGTTAATTGATATATATGCTTGCTTGTGAAGCGACAGCATTGCTCAACACTTTTTAAAAGGTTTTGCAACACCTCAGCTTACAGAAAAGTTTGTCTGCAATTGAAGCGAATACGGCTTCAGCTGCAAAGAACTTTTCGATCGGATAGAGAAAATACACCGTAAAACTTTACCGATATATAAGTGTGTGTATTGGTATGTATGGGTGTATTGTGTGTGTGTATGTGGGCGTGTGAATGTGTGTCAACTTGCGGTAGATTATTAGATGGCTCAACTATGTATGTATTTGTAATATATACGCATTGTAAAAATATTTCTTAAAAAATTTCAACTAAGCAACCCAACGGTCAGAGTACAGTTTACACTCTGTATAAATACATTTGTAGTCTCTGTGTATTTGTGTGTGTGTGTGTGTGTGTGTGTGTGTGTGTGTGTGTGTATGTGTGATTGAGAGTGTTTTGGTTTGTGTTTAACGGCTCAGGTTTTAAATTTGCACTATGTTCCTTGTTCTTCGGCTCGAACAACATTTGGTAGCTGATCAAATCAAATGCGCTGCATTCTTTTCAGCGCTGATCTAAATATATTTGTATTTTTCTTCAGTTGAGGCTTGTATATATATGATTCTTGTGTGTGTGTGGGTGTGTGAATGTGTCGAACCTAATACGAATTGCGGCTAAAATTGTATTTTTGTTATGTTACCAGGGAGCGGCGACAGCATTTTCGAAATTTACAAATAATATTTTACGGCTCTAAAGAAATTGTTGTTCGATTCGATTTTTTGTTTGTTTTTCTTTTAAGTTGTTTGTGTTTCTACCTTAAAATTTCGACGAGAGGCCTAAATATTGCGAATACTTATGTAAATGTGTGTTGCCTCTTGTTGTTGTTGTTGTGTGTTCAATAATACAATGATACTTTGCATTATATCCAGTTGTATTTCTTACGTAGATTTAACTTTTTAACTTTTGTCTTCGCTTCGCTTTCGGCATTGCTGTTGTTGCAGTAGTTCTTGTTGTAGCTGTTAGTGTTGTAGTAGCTGATGTTGTTGTTGTTGTAGCAGGGTTCGTAGATTGATCGAGAGGTGGTGGCATCGTTGGCATAGCCAACTCCTCCACTTATTCCAGCTGCTCTAAAAAATTCGGCGACTTGAAGTACTCGGGCACGGGATCGTCCATGCGTGAGATTATTTTGTATATGGATTTCTTCCACGATTGCTCGGTGTCTTTGCCACCCTGTATTGCACGGAAAAATTCACGCAGTGTCTGTTCGACCACAAAGCGAAAATTTTGGGGTACCTGTGGGCGTGGTCGATGGCGAAGGACGAACGATAATGATAATTAGCAAAAAGGTCAAACGGCAGCGAAACGAGGTGTGTTTACTGTGTGTGTGTTTGTGTGTGTGTGTGTGTACATGTGTGTGTGTGTGTCATTATCAACAGAGCTTTAACTACTTAATTATCATAGCAAAAGAGAAAACTTTAATTTATTGCAATACGAAAGAAATTACCATTTCATTACTTTAATTACTTTAGTGTAATTGAAAGTATTTACAGCTCTCTGATCGTCAGTGTGTGTTAGTGTATTATTGTAGTGTAGTGTATTGCTAACAGAGCTTTAATTACTTCAATGAATACTCAAAATCTTATTTAATTACTTGCAATTATTGTTTGGTAGTTTAAAGTATTTACAGCTCTGTTTGTTAGTGTAGGTGTGTATATATGTGTGTACTTTGTTGCATACCTCAATGTGATTATTGCGATTGTAGTGCAAATTGAGCACGCGATATAATTCACTATCTCCAGCAATCAACAGATCATCGGGTGTCTTGATGCCTTCAGTGACAGCTTGTCGTGCATATTTCTCCATTTGTATGTAGTAGAATTCTCTGCAGATGCGTAGATGAGGAATATGTTTGGTTTCGGTCAGTATACTAAATAGCTATACTTTGTTTTTGTTTGGTTTAAAGTTGAATTTTTTTTTTTTTTTTTTTTTTTGGGGTTTTTGAAACAGCATTCAAATTTACGAAATCATAGTAAAAGTTGTAAGAAATTATAGAAAGAGGATACGGTAAGATAAATGAAACAAAACAGAAACAGTCACCGAGAAAGTAAAAAACAACCAAAGTCGAATTCAAAAGCAAAGATTTTTCTCATGCATTCACCCCAAACGAAAAACAAAACAAAGAAGGAAAGATTTCCTACTGGCTTGCACTCATACGTTTGCTGTTCCATTCTGTCTGATGCTAAGCCTATATCGACTGCCTCTTGCCTGCATGGGCTTAATGCATTATATTGGATCGACTTTGCAATATGACATTATTAATAAATTTGCAGCATACTCTTAGGCGCGCCATTCTGTTCTACCCTAAAAGCCTCGACTTTGTCTCTCTCTCTCTGTGTGTGTGTGTGTGTGTGTGGGTGTGATTTTTGTGCTTCTTTGTTGTAAAGAATTTTTAATAAATCTCAAATGTGCAACGACAGCGCTGAGGGCTGCTGGCTGCAGTACTGCACACAGACACATGCATACATATATATGTATATTAATCTACATATATATGCTGGCGCCGAACGTGCAAGTTAACGGGCAGCGTCTTCTTCTGCTTGCGGTTAGCTTCCCCCCTGGGTGGGCCAATGCCTAACTGTTCGCCTGCCCGCCACTTGCCCGTCCCTTGCCCGCCTGCCTGCCAATTGTCTAGTGGTTGGGGACTTAATTAGCAAGTGCAGCGGTGCCTCAGTGGTGCTGTTTATGCTCCTCGTGTTGGCTGCTGTGTCGCCGCCTTGTTTAGTCAAGTGATTTGTGTCCGGGGCCGTAGCAACTGCCGCCTCTATGTATATGTGTGTGTGTGTGTGTGTGTGTAAGTGATTGCTTGTCTTTTTCTAATGAAAAGTCCTCGCTCTACCCCCAGCCCTCAATCGTCTGTGCTACATTTGTTGCTGCCGCCCACTTGACAACGCTCCGATAATCGCGCTAATTTCAAGATTTCCCAGCAGTTGCCGCCAAATGCATTTCTCTGTGCATGTCTCTGGCTGATTTCTCTGTTGATTTTTCCAAACAATAAGCGCGAATTGCGCAAATGGAACCAGATTGCGGCACGGGGCTAGATGTCTTTGCCAGAGTCATTGCATTGAGAACGAGCACGAGAATGAGAACGAAGCCTGTCAAGCCACGAGGAGCTCCCCGGAGGCGGCTGCCACGCGCACTTGAACAGCAAATGCAAAGCTTTCCCTACAATGGACCGATGCCCATAATGAGCAGAGATGAGGCAAACGCAAGAAGCCAACGGTACAAATTGCGACAGAATATCTGTCCCCACCTCAGTCTTTGTGTGTGTGTGTGTGTGTGTGTGTGCGTGTCAGTGTGAGCCTTTGTTAAGGCTTGCAACAATATCTGAAAACTGTGGCTAGGGCGCTCCAGGCCGGGTGCCTATAGTTATTAGGCGTTTGGCAACAAAGCTTTGCCTACTTGTAGCCCCGTGTGTGAAAGGCACAATATTTTGTGTGTGTGATAATGCAATTAGCTTTGGGTTCTCACATGTTTTTGTTGCTTTTGCTTTTGCTGCTGCTGCTGCTGCTGTTTGGCTTGAGGCTGGCATTCAAATGCCGCATCAAGTGTTGGGTGCCAGGAAAAGGAAGTTTAGCTAACTGCCTGCCATAAGTGTGTGCGCTGCGCCACTTAATTTATATAATACGCTTCCAAACACACCCACACACACACATACACACACTCACTCACTCACATGCTGCACACAAAATGACGCCAACGGATGTGCAGTCGCTGCTTTAACTAATTAGTTTATATAATTTTCGTAGCCTATTTACAATTCATATTTGGGCGTGGCGCACGCCCACTTTGCAGCTAGCCAGCGACACACTAGAAACTGCATAAAACTGCATGCGTGTCTCTATGTGTGTGTGTATGTGTGGAGGGGAGAGGCTGCGCCTGTGTCTGTGTGTCTGTGTGTATGTGTGTATGCGTGTGTGTGTCAAGTCTGCTTCTTTGCTACTTCTTTGCTTTCTTTAGAAGTGCCATTCACTTATGGTATGAATAGAGAATAAGTACATTAATAAGCTCACACATACTCACCCACACATATGCAGACATCTCTACCTCATACACTAATGAAGTAATTGGCAACACTTTATATATACATACATACATAAATATGTATAAATATGTAAGCATCGTTATATATATACTGAAATATGTGTGCGTGTGTGAGTATGTGTGTGAGTGTCTGTGTGTGTATGTCTATGTGTGTATGTATATACATATATGTATTTTGTTTGCTGCTGTTGTTGTTGCTGTTCATTTCATGATTTTTTCCTTTTTTTTGGTTTTTATTTTTATTTTTTTTATTAATTCAGCAAGATCTTTTCAGGTGGCTGGCTGCCTGGCCATGGTTGGGGCTGCCTGTACTAAGCGCCAAAAGGACACTTAACCTCAAAAATGCTTCATGGAGAAACAAAACTCAAAAACAGAAAACAAAAACAAACAAAAAAGAAAAAGAAAAAAAAATCCAAACACAAAAAACACATAGAAAGTCACATGTGTGTGTGTGTGAGTGTGTGTGAGTTCCTTGCATATCCTTGAGCGCCTTTTGCCAGTTGAGGGCTGGGTGGCCATTGTGCGCGTCTCTCCAGGCGCGACTCTCAAGTAGCTGCCCCGCCCCCCGCCCTCAACAAATGCGCGCCAGCCAAAGAAACGAGCTCCTGCTGCACTTGCCCCTAACTGGCAGTCAGTCAAACAAACTAATTAGCCTGCCTCCCCACCAAGTGGGTGAGTGTGTCTGTATGTGTGTGTGCGAGTGTGTGTGTGTGTGGACATGCATGGTCCTTTGGCTGCTTTCTTTTCATTATTTGCATTTGCCATAAGAGTGAAGGCAGATAATGCAATTATATAAGTGCCATACAAATACAAAAGCCACTTTTCCTAATTAGCCCGCACAAAGGCGAAAAAGAGTGGCAAGAAATGCCAACACTTGCCCCAAACCATCCGCTCCGTCCCGCCCCCGCCCCGTCTCTAAAATTGAGTGGGCGCATTCTTTTTTAATAAAGCAGCAGCCGCTGCAACTTTCTTTCACACTTCAAACATGCGAAAATGGAAAAATGCTCGAGCATCCTTGGCCAGGACTATCAACGGACCCTTTTGCATTTTCTTAAGTGGCCACTGAAAGTGGCATGCAACATGTTATTAGTCCTCTAATGTGTCTGATGTATGTGTATGTGTGTGTGTGTGCGTGTGTGGGAAACTCATAATGTTCAACTGTTGTGAACTGTGCAAGAGATTGAGTGCTAATTTCCTTGACTTCCCATATTAAAAACGAAACAAAATTATATGAGATAAAAAAGAAGAGAAAATAAAAATGCAAAATAAGTTGAGTAAAGTAATTGAGAAATAAAAAAAAAACAAGGAACCGTTACTAACTGAGCCGACCTACCCCTAAGCATAAAGCACTGCGAAATGGAAACGGAAAGGAAAAGAAACCGAAGCAAGCCAACGACATCAACAAAAATATTCCCACCCATTTTAACCTCAGCAGTCGAAAGTTGAAGTCGCAAAAGAAATAGAGAATAGAAAGGGATAAGATACGCCAAATGAAATTCCCATGCAAAGTCGCCTTCAGTCATAGGAGATTTCTTTGGGGCAGCAACCCTTAAGAAACTACCCAGGACAAACAAAAGAATTCGTAAAGGACGAATGAGGGAAAAACCCGTGCCACGATTTCTCTGTGCGCAGGTAAGAATTGAGGCGAATTTCTTAAGACGTTGCGCATGTCTTAAAGCAAATCGGGGCAGGAGCTAGGGGTAGGGCGTAGTTGGCTAAGCACGAGCAACAACAAGGGACAGCTGCTAAGCCAAGTCTGTCTGTGTGAGTGTCTGTGTATGTGTGTGTTTTGTTAGGGGCTGAAATCAAAATCCAGGTGAACTATTGTATTGTCGCGTGGTTAGCTGCAGATGTGCCTCGCATTTGGCGCGAAAAGCGAACTGCAGAGCTGCAGAGCTGCAGGATCCGTGCTCAAAAGTCTTTGCCAGCTGTCGTTACCGATGCATAGATATATACATACATGTATATATATATATATATATATATATATATATATATATATATATATATATATATATATATATATATATATATGTATGTATATTATTTTTGGCAACTTCTTGCGCCCATAGACAGGTCTGACAGTCAAATGGATTGCAAATGCCAAACAACTCTACTGGAGGGGCTGCGCGATGGCTGGGGCTTCGTTGCATTGCATGCGCCGAGGCGTCAGTTGTGCGATTTCTTGAGTGCAAGTCAAGGATTCGACAGTTGGCAATCGAATTGAATTTGGAATTTTTGTTGAAGTGCCTGACAGATTTACAAATGTTCTAATAATATACGCTAACGGAATAACACAAATGA